ATCCATGCGGGGGGGGGGAAATAATAAACAAAAATTGTTCATGTAGCTCTGTGTTTCCGCACCTTTCCTCAAAGCTCTGCCTTGTAGTGGTAAAGCTCCACACTACTTCCCCATAAAATTAACATATAATTCATTTTCATCTTTATTTAGATTTATTGGAAAATTAAAGAGTGAGAATAATTTGTGGGAGATGAGCATGATAACTTATACACCAGTTCTGGGAGAGTTTACAAGGTAAGTAGCACAGTGCAAAAAATACAGATGTTCTGACTCAAAAAACTGAGAAAGCTGAAAGCCCAAAGGCATTTATGACATTAAGAGCGAGGGCTTAAGTGGAAGTTATGCTTTGAAATTTCTTACAAATCTGGATGATGCCAAATCTGAGCCACCCCCTTGCATGAGAGTGGCCCAACAGGCAGAGTGTGTAATGTCTGTCTGTCCCCAGCAACTGGCTGGTGTTTGAGGGTTATCTATGTTACGACAAGCTGATGGTGGAGTCAGACACTCATTTTATGCAATTCTGTTTACAGTCAGAAAAAAATCATGTGGACAGATCCCCCTAAACCTCATTGCAAGGTCAGCAGGATGCATTTCTTTTGTTGCCACTTGCAAGTCTTTCTCCACTTTTCCCTCAAGGCTCTTATTTTGTTCAGAATTGCGTTCCCAGTGCTTGTGCTGACTGTCTCGCCGACATCCAGTCCTTGCTTTCCTCATGCTGCTATTTCTCTGTCTGCACTCAATACGTTTCTGCTGTTTATCTTTCACATTCACATCCAGCCAATCCCTCCTACTTCTCAGCTCCAAAGGGTATTTGTTCAATTGTATTACCTAGTCCCTGCCCACTCTTACGCAGTAGCTTCTTTTGTTTCAGCTATTATTAACCTAAGGGGAATGTAATTGCCCTCTCATTCAGCCTGGAAGTATGAAATGGAAGTGTAACCACACAAAATGAGTGCAGTGGTGGATTTGGCATAAATTCTAGGTAAAAGCTGATTATCACTGAAACAAATTATCTAGCTGCAGGGACAGAGTGGAAGTGTTGAATTTCAAATTGAACAGACTCAAAATGTATTAAAATCTACTGGATATGCAAATACCAGTGGAAATGTGAGGCTGTACCTATACCAGAAGAAAGGCACAGGGTTACCTCAGATACAGACTTTATATATTTTTGACAGAATGTTGAACATGATTGAACGCTCTGGAGAAAAATCTCATGGCAAAAGATGTGTCAGCTGCTCCTGTTCAATGAAAAGAGCACATATGATTTTCTTGTTAATTTAGCCCCACTAGCCAGCTTCATCAAACACAGTGTTTTCTTCCACTGTACTCACGATTTATGTGGCAGAAAATCAGAGCTGGTATTCAGTGTGTTGATTGAGACTTCCCCCACACCCTCCAACAAAGTCGTGCTTGCAGATAAATACTTCTCTGTTTCTATGTAGGTTGTTGAGAGCTTTCACAGTAGTATTATAGCAAGGAAACACAGCTCTTACAGTGTGATGGTTGTCAGAAAGGTCTCATAGATCTGAAATCAGAGCGTTCATTTCACTGAATTGGCAATTTAGGCCTAATCTCCGCCTTCTACATGAGTGTTTTGGTTTGAAGCAACAGTGACATATTGAAGGACTATTTCCTCATTTGCCCCCTCATATCAGCCATATCAGCTTGATTTGCAAAGGGGTTTCGTTGCACATGAGGGAGATTCCTTTCTGAAGATGTAAAGTTTGAATCCGTTCTAGATGTTCATATTAAAAATGAGACAGAAAAATGCAGTCCACACTGGGAATGCTCCAGAATGACAGGGAGAAAACCAAGCTACCCATGGAGAAGCTGGGAGTGTCTAGAGAAACACCCACCAACTCTAACCTCTCTGGAGGGTTTGTTTCCAGGTGGGTGCTGCTGCAGTCATCTGCTGCACAATTGTTCCACAGATTCTTTCTTTCAACAAGGTACCTCTGAGGACTGGCAAAAGGGATTTTGCTATCGAGTTTTACACTGTGGCTTCATTCCCTCTCATCATTTGTGTTCTGAATGTCCTGATTTTTGAAATTGCACGCTTGCTTATCCTCTGGATGAGATCAAATCTTATGCGAAATTCAAATAAGATTGATTACAAGACACATCAAGTTTGGGACATTTGGGCCAAGCTGCAAAATAAAATCAATGCCAGTTGCTGCTTTTCATAATCTGGTTACTTCCTGACTGAGTGATGCTATTAAAATGCTTCATCTCCAAGTAATCTTATTGGCCTTCATATTTGTACTATGGCTGACAGGATTAGCTCTGAAAAGCACTTACACATTACCTGTGATATAAACAAGTAGCTTAGTGGATGGTGCTTTGGACTCACATTTAGCTGAAGTTATTATTCACTTTGCAATTTATATACTGGATTGGAAGAGCAGAACATATCCGTTTCTACAGAGAAAAAGAATCTCACATGGACAGATATTCTGGAAAACAAAACAAAACAAAACAAAAAAATTATCCTGTTTTCAAAGGCCTTTTTGAACCCTTGCTGTGAGAAAAATCCCTTCTTCCCTGAAGTTTTGGCAACAAATTATTAGAACACCTGGTGCTGGTGCACCTTTTCCAGCAGCACACTCCATATAGTGCAAGGAAACAGGCAGGTCACAAGCTGACATGGTTTTCCCCCACTGTGTCTATTTGCTGACTGGAATGTGGAACCATTCCTCAGACTGAATTTAATCCCTCTGCTAAGTAAATTTTGCTCAAGACCCTAACTTTCCACAAAGAGTACAACTCAGGATTTCAGGAAACTATGGCTTCAGTAAAGATTACAATGACTGCAAATCCTGGGAGATGTGACACATTATACCTCTGATACGTGGTCTGTAATACATCATATATGATATTAGAAATATGTATGGGCAGTGTGCCACACCTCCCAAGTATATATTCATGTAAATATTTATGTAGACCTCCGATATATACATATATATGTATGCATGTTTGTATGTATGTATGTATATATACATACATGTGTATATAAATATATACATATAAGCTAGAGAGGACTCTGTACTAAGGATCTCTGTTAGTCTGGTACTCCCTTTCAGTTGGCCTTTCTCTGCAACTTGATATCCTTGACATTGTCATAATCCGTATTCACCAGTCTAACTACAAAAGAGATATGCTCTCACTCCAGTAGTTCTGGTCATGCTATTATAGCAAAGGTTGATTAACAGGTTTATTTTATTGTTTTCCTTGTATTTACCAGTAGAGGCATATTCTTCAGCTTAAGACACTAGGTAATACACAAGTGCTTGGGTCTTGTGGCAAAGTCTGTTTTCTAAAACGGGGTATTTATTTTTCTGCAGTGCTAAGCATTCAACCTTTTGTAGCTTCCTTGGCTTAGGTTGCTGAAGTTATTTTGAGATCAATGTTCATCTCCTATTTAAATCATATGTCTGCTGGTTCCCATCCAGCTTGGGTCAGTGATTCTGTCACAGACATGAAACGAGTTCTTGGCCCGAGCCAATTATTCCTGTTGAAGAGGTTGTCATGCTACGTGGAAACAATAGCAGTTCCTTTGGCATCCTTCCTACCAGTCTCACTGGAGACATTACAGAAGAGGTGTACAGAACAATTCCTGCAAGTCAGGGCTGAGAATGGTGATGCCTTTAAAAAGCACTATGGGTGGGGGGAAAAAAAAGGCAAAAAAAAGCATACCTTTCACTCCAAAAGTGAAAGAGCTAAGCTACATATCAATCATGATTCTAAATTTGTATTTGCTTATAGATACATTTTAAAGTTAAATTTTGTAAATAAAGATGGTGACTTTGCAGTTGTTGCAAACCATTAAGGAAAATACAAACTGGAAATTAAAACAAAACACTTAAAGACCTCTAAATTAGCAATGACCTTCTCTCTTTTAAAGTTTTCTTCCCTGCTTTATGAAATCTTTGTTCTACACTGATCCTCTGACTAACTTCTATCAAGAAGGTGATGGGATTAGTAGATGCTGACAAGCTTTGTGTTACTCTTTTTAACCTGGAGAAGTCTCTACTCTTAGGGTACATTTTCATCTTGACAGCACTAGGCAGCAGGAAGCTTTTATTTTTATTTTTATTTTTATTTTTTTATATTTTTTTTTTTTGGCGGATTCACACCTCAGATTAGACCTGGAGACCTGGATATATTTTTAACACGTGTGTTGCTCGTGTATATTTTAACTTTGGCTTACATATGTAGGGTACACGTTATAGTGGGAACAGAGTGGTGCAAGCCTTTTCACCAAGGTGACCTCAATGTCAGGCAGCACGAAGGGACAGCAAGCACAGGCCACCCACCCCATCCCTCAGACACGTTGGTGCCCTCCCTGCACTATGCTAAGCCTCTGCTGAGCCAGGGCCAGTTCCTGCACCTGGCTCACATGCTGCCCTCTGCCCAAGGGAGATCCTGGGGAGCTGGCTGCGAGCATCCTGGGTGCGAATGGAATGCCTTGATCGGGAGGAAGGGTTTCCTTCCTGGAAAATGTACTGCAGGGAAGGACAGAGGTTTTGTGCAGCTGTCACCTCCTGATCTGAAGCTGCACAAATATGCTGGATCTGCTTCACTGCCTGGAAGGCGTATTCCCCCTCTGCTTGCCCAACTTGTAAGTATTCAGTGCAGGGGGGAGAAATAAGCTTTGTAGCGCCAAGAGTTTCCTGCCTGCTGGCAGAAACCCTATTCCCAAGGGAGGCTTTGATGTATTTCAATGAAAGTCGGGGAGCTAAGTGGAGCTGATAATCTGCCCTTTTGCATGATGCTCCAGAAGTTACCTGAACACTCACTAACTTAGGAAACAGTGTGGGCTCTTAATAAATAAGTCATGCAATAAGCCTTGTACCATTTATAAGTAATGAAAGTGGAATGTGCCTGATAGCACAGATCCATTGGTTAAAAATAATGCTTTAAAAGGACACTGCTACAGTCAATAGGCCACAAATATGAACTTTATTCTTACCCCTTTGTAAGTGTGTAGGTCTCATAATATTAACTTACGTGTTTGAAGAAACCTTATCTTTCCGTAGCAAATAAAGCAACATTGGTTTTGTGAGGAAAAAGAAAATCCAATATTAGTATTTCTTCAGTCATGAGCTTTCCTAGGGAATAATAAACAAGGCATAAATCAGAGAGTGATATAAAAACAAAATTAATATCCGGATTTTTTGCTAGGTCATTATAAAACACAGAACTATATTTCTTTTCATGATTTGAAAAAGAACTTCAGGTTACTCACTAAAACTGTAATTTCAGACTTTAAGGCATGTACGTATGTCCCTTCTGAATGTGATTTATGAAAGAAGCAGTGGGGTTTTGTGTCTTCATGAAAGAAAGGCACTTCATTTACTGTCTTCTGAATCTGATGGCTCCGTGTGTAAAGATATTCTGGCACTATCAAAGGGCAGCAGAAATCTGCAGATGAAATACAAAGACCAAAAGTATAAGTAAGAAGTACTTTGAGAGTATGCTATTATTTGATTATTTAGCAGCTGAAATAAATAAAAATAATAATAACAAATGTGTAAATATTTACATTTTTCCTACCTAATAGCCTGAACCTTGTGGTAAAGTCAAAATTTCAGACAGAAAACTGGATACATTTGGTTGTGAATCTTTGATTAAAAAGAATGGCTAGATTAGTGTTGAGTGGAGGTGTCATTTTGGAAAAAAATGGGATGCATTTTATAATATTTCATATGATTTCCAGAGTTCTATTTGAAAACAGAGTTACTTTTATATGGTAAATGTTTTAATAGTAGGCTTCAGGAGAAAATAGAATATGTTTATTTACTTGTCACTTTTAAAAACAATTTTATAGTAACACTTTGAAGAACTATTCAAATTTACTGTTGTAGTATGGTGAGTAGACGAATATGGGTTTCAAGATGTACTTTCCCTGTTTTTATAGTTAAGAAATTAATAATAATTAAAAAAAATAAAAAATAAAAAAGAACAATCCTCACCTTCCCTCATGCAACTTATTTGTTGAAAATAAGTATAATCATTTTTGAATGAAATTATTCATTTTTTCAGTCATTCTGCTGAAGAGCAGAGAGTTTTATAGGCATACTTTGCTGGCTGTAGTTCAGCAGGATGATTGTTCTGTTAAAACATGGGAAACAAAAAATATCACTATTCAATAAAGTTTTAAAGAAGATAACTAATGACAAAGGGTGTCATGTCAGCACTAAATTTCTGAAAATGAAAGCCATCTGTCCATTATCCTTTCACTGAATCCAGCTCCATGTATCATTTTGAAGTGTTCTGTCAAGCTGCATCAGTCACCTCTTGTTATGCTGCGCCCATAACACGCAGAGACATAGTGCACACTGCCTAGAGTTGTGCCTGCCCCTGCCCAGCCTTTCTATAGTTTACTGAATGGCCAACTTTCCATCCATGTTTTTAGTTCATGATCCTGCAAACCTTAAGAATACATTTTGGTTCCAAGGGCTTTAATAAATTCCTGCTCTGTCATTTCCTGGGCAAACTCCCACTGACTTCCCAGGAGGTTTGCCTGACTGACAACTGATTAAACACAGAGTAAAAGCTTCAGGGTTCAGTCCACTATTTTCAGTGTGACTAAGAAGAACTACTTACCTTTATACAGGAAGGAAATACATGACATTAGGTCATGCTTCTGCAGGTATTTATCACTAGACCTACAGCATACAGCTTTGAGCAAGTGACATAATTAATCCACTTCTTTAAAATAGACTCACATTACTTTAATACAAATGCTGTGTTTTTCATCTTAAAACCAGTCTCATTTAAAAAACAATGTTAAGGAAGGCACATATTTTTCCATCTTCTTTTCAGAAGAAAAGTGGCTATTGTGTCAAAAGGTTTGAAATGTCTTGCAACATAAAAGGGGAACAACCTGTGAGGAAAATTGTCTTATCAGAAAGTTCTAATTGCTATGCAAGAAGTTTTGATATTTTTGCAATATTCCTTTGCATTAAAGAAAGAAAGATGTACTCTTGCTTGTGATGGATTTTCAATGGACAAATTCAGTAAAAATAAAACTTTAAAAAATGTGCCTATGTTAAAACGAAGATTAATTTGGCTTTAACTGTAGGTTATATAGGCTCTCAACACCTCTCAACTTCTTCATATGAAATAAAAGAAAGGAAAATAAATTTTTAAAAATTGCTCTTTTGGAAAGTTCTACCAGGTATGTGGCTAATGAAATCATGAGTTTCCACCGTAATTTTCTTAGGAAGAGAAACCCTACAATGAACATAGATAAGATATTTCAAATGTTATTTATTTGTCTGTAGTTCATCATTTTAGGTTAGATGATAATGAGAACAGAATAGTTTTAACAGAATATAGTGGTAATTACACTTATCTTGAACCCCAAGCTATTTTGTCAGCTTTTAGAGTCTAATGAAATGAATGAAAACTCAAGTTGTTGTAGTTTTCACTGCCAGTTTGAGCACCATTAACTACCCTTGATCAGCCAACAACACATTGGATCATTTTGGGTATTGGTGTACTTTAGAAACTTTAAACATTTATCAACTTTAAACATTTAGAAACTCTATCTTTTTTCCATGTGAATTATTTTAGACTAGGAATTACTTTAAATATCAAATACCAGCTCCAGATGAGAACCCATTGTGGTCCTTCCAATTAAAATAAATAAATAAATAAATAAATAAATGTAATCTTACATACTGCATTGAAAATCTACGTATACTTGAATCTGTCTTCCATGTAACATGTTTATAGAGCGAGCAGTACAAATTTAAGGATTTAAGGTTTATTAAAATTTGTTAGAAACTGTGGTTGGTACACATTATAATGTTAGTTATAAGGCAAAACAAAATAAAACAATAACAACAACAACAAAACAAACCACCCACCCCTGCTTTAAATCTTTAAAAGCTTCCTGTTCTAGGGCTGGAGGCACTGAAATGCCTCCCTATGTTGCTGTTTTTCTCTTTTCTTTGTTTTGTTGAAATATTTTAAGTCCCTGAAAAAAAATAGTTACTTCTGTTATTGCTTATTGCCAAGTGCAAAGGTCGACTAGTTCAGACATTATGAATTTAATTTTTAAAAAGATATACAGTGGAATTTAATGATAGATATTTTAGAGATACTTTCTTCATTCCCTTCACTGTCCTTTTTGTATGTGGTACTGTTAATCTCTATTTTCAGTATGAATCAAAGCATTATCACATTACGGCTCAAACACAGTTAACCTGGAAAAAGCCTTGGAAGGGAATATTAAGCCTTTAGAAGACTCATCCTGCAAAGTGCAATAAAGCAATGAGAATTACCTTTAGTCATAAACTGTAAATATTTGAGAAGCCACCAACCAACTAAACAGGTAAAGAAAAAAACCCTTGCAAACTTTTAAATTATCGTCTTTTAAGTATTTGGCCATAACAACCATTTGCTGAAAATACATTTTTATTCATGAAGAGCACAGAGGATCTATCTTTATCATGGAGCACCACTCAGTAGTGAGAATGTGAGGCTCCCCTTTGCATGTTCTCATTTCTGGTAGGCTCACCTACCTGACAAGAAACCGCTGTCTTTTGGAAAAAAAAAAAAAAAAAAAAAAAAAGAAAAGAAAAAAGAAAAAAAGACAAGAATAAAATCCCCAAATGGATTTTAGACTATAAAGATCCATTATTATAATTTAGGCTGACCATCTGCATAAAACAGATTGGATGACCCATAATTATCTTAATCATAACTTCTGATCAAACTATAGTATATATTGCTCAAAAAAGAGGTCTGTGACCAATTTGAAAACAAGTGATGGAGAAGCAACTATATCCATTGTCAAGTTGTGCTCATTACTGATTATCCACAGTGACATAACCTGTATATTAACTCTCACTTGAATTTGCATAATTTCAGCTTCTAAATACTAAACTGAAGACATTACACATGGTCACATTACCTTTGATTTCCAATCTAGACACTTGAGATTGCAGCTGGCCAGACTATTCATTCTGAACAGTCATCAGATATGACTCTTTTCACTGTTTATATTTGAGAATTGATCCTGATTTTTATGGATTTGTAGTAATTGCTTAATGAATGAGAATCTTGGACATATTTGAGCTGGATGTTATTGTGCAAATGCTGGCTTCAGAGAATTTTTCCTCGCTTCACCATTTAGTTGCAACACCTCCATGTTTTGTGTGTGATTGGTCACATTATTAGCTATTTTAACAAAGATGTGACATGCATAAAAGCTGTAATTCCTGCCTCAATGAGCTTATGAATAAGTCTCTGATAGAAATGTAACTGTGGGGCATGACAAAGCAATAGACCAGAGGAAAGACCAGCAAATACAAGACATAGCATGATGGATTGTTTCTGTAGGTAGATTAAAGGGGATACAGAGAACCTGAGGCTGTTTCAGTTACTGATAGGCAGGTTTTGTAAGAATAAAAATAGAGGTTTTGGATTAGCATAAAGAAGACACTGTGATTTGGGGAGTGTGGAAGAAAACATAGATATAATTTTCAAAACAGCCACAAAGAGACTGTATGAAAGCTCACATCTTAAGTGCAGACTTTACAAGGGTAAGATGAAAAGAGCCTGTCCATAAAAAGCACTACACAATATACAGCAAAGAAAGCTATGTATACAGCTTGCCTACTGACAGTGCCTATATCTCATAGTTAGAGAGGCCCATAGAGGGAGTGTGAAGTGGCTACACTCCTAATTTAGGCATCCTCGATAATCCCATAATTACACAAGATGAATTCAGGACCTTGTGCCTTTTAATAATGCAGCAGTAGCCACAATCTCACCCTGCAGGCAGAGAGGCACAGAAGTGTAAAGATCAGCCAAGGCTTCAGCACATAACCTCCCCCTCAGCTGGGCTCAGAGGCTGATCCCGCTCTGGAGGTTTTGTCCCACTCCACAGGCAGACTGTGCTGCCTTTTGTGACGGAAACACACTAAATGTGTCACTAGGACAGGGACTTTGCTACTGGATTGGCTTTGTCCTTATGTTACATGACCTCTCCTTGCACCAGCTGCCTGTGCTGGGTGATGTATCTGAGGTGCTTTTAAAGCCAGAGGCGTTCACACTTGCTCTTTTTCTGTCTTGAACTCAGAACATCTCCATCCGTGAATCATGCACCCAGCTGGTACAAAGTGTCCAGGTGGCCAGGTGGAAACAGCCTGAGTGTGGCTTTTGGTTGTTTGCCTAGAAATAATGTCACACATGAATTTCCATCTCTGCTCCGATAAAAGCACTTCTCCAGGTGAATTAAAATTGATTGCATGAATATTCATAGGCAAGGAAAAAACATTAGTCTGTACATAACAGGATTGCACATTCTTGTTTGCAAATAGATTTTCTTAAATATTAACCCAGTTCCTCTTGAGACGATAAAATCACCACTCTCATTTTTCCTCTCTCCTTTAATATAAATCTGCTTACCTCACATTCCCGTGATATATTTCCACTGATGTGTCCCCCATCACCACGGTCGTCAGTGCACTATGCCATGCTATAGAATGATGGCAGTATGGCAGGCCTAAAATTGTTCTTATGATCCTGTTTCATACAGGAAGCTGACATAAAATGGCCTGTCCAGGATGTTTTGAATGTCTGGAGCAGAACAAGGAGTTAACTCAGATCTCCCACTGCCCCTGCCAGTGTCACCTCCACTAATTTCTTATCGAGTCCAGGATCTTCTTTGACAAGACCTCAGATTTTTCTCTGCCACTTTGTTCTGCCAAGGGAAAATAAATAAAATGTGTTTTTAGCCTGCTATACTAACAAAGCTAAAGTTATCAATCTCTACAGATTTCTGCTGAGCAGTCTTTTTTGAGAGGCAGCAAGCCAGAGTTATTGTACCAAGCAATACAAGGAACAAGTGGGAAAATGCAGATAGTGTGGTGTGCATAGAAAATATTGGAAGATGTTGTATGTATTGCAAGGGAAGCAAGATGTCCTGAGATTTCATTTCAGTACGTTATTTTGCCCTGAACCTGTAATTCACTGCATCATGCTTTTTTTTTTTTTTCTTTTTCTGGATTATAGCAAAGTTAGCTATCACTAACTTTTTTTTTTTATTATTTATTTCTGAAATTTTACTAGTCTTCTGTAAGACTAAAGAAATTAAGTTTATTTTAAAAGAAGGAGAGGATTTTCCCCAATATCCACAGCTTGCTCATGCTAGAGAAGCAAATAAGGGCAAAAATTCAGAAATACATCTCTCAGATGTATTTCATCATTTCTCTCAGATGTACATCAATACATCTCATTATGTAAGTGATAGCAGGTTTGAAGCTGCATGTATGCCAGGCAACAATGGTAACCTGTAATGTCATTAATGACACACTTAGAACCATATAAAAGAAATGTAATTAAAGTCACAACATAACTACATGCGTAAAATGTAGCAATAACATATTACACTATTTTTGAACTCATTTTTTTTCATAAAATTACAGAAACATAATTCACAAATGTAAATAAATTTATCATTGAATCCCTGGTTCATTTATAATAAACCCATCAAATGCACCAAGAAGTCTTCGTACTGCAAACTGAGTTCTCTTTAGAATCTCTGAGAAGTGACAGGAATTTACAGACTGATACCAGACAACTTTTATTCACAGGACAATCATCTTTTCCCAAAAGCAGTTCCAGAGAGAAGTTCCAGAAAGAGTTAACAAGACTGAAAAGCCTTATAAAAATGAAAAGTGTTTAATTCAATGGAGTAAAATTTCAAGATTTTGTTTCATTTTTCCTCAACCGTAAACTCTACAAGTTATAAAGAGACATTTAACTTGGGGTAAAGGAATGAAAGGATCAATATCAATTTAGGTTTTGAAAAAATATTTTTGAAATTTATAAATCTAAAATCTAAGCTAGGTATAAAACTCAGCCCCTTAGCTCTAATCTGCTTTGATCGGTGATTAATTTATTTTTACCATGATGGGCTTAATAGTATATAGGTTGTTTACACTAGCTAATATAAATTCAGCTACGTGGGTTCCAATGAACAGATGTTCTAAATCTGCAATGTTGATGAGAATGCTCATTAATAAATGGATAGATTTATTCCTGAAAAGTGCATTCTGGCATTTGTTTTATTTTATATATATATATATAAAATTTTTTTTAGATTCCTAATGGAAGTCTAGTTCCCTTTGTCTTAAATTAAATGAAATTGTCTCAAATGTGTCACATGACAGACTATAGCAATAGCAATATGATTGTAATGAAGGAGCTAAATACATTCAGTAACTTCCTGACAGATTTTATTTTTTCATTGCTTGAAGAGGTATTTGTTATAGCTTTTTTTTTTTTTTTTTTTTTTTAACTTAATCAGTTCAAATAGTTGAGTAAAACAAAAATGAAAGAAAAATACCCCCATAATCTACTGAATAATAATCCCATGCGAAAAAAAATAATACATATTACAGGTGAAGGAAAAGACAAAGAGGGCTTTTAAACATAATTTTAGGAGAGGTCATCTCAACATTTCTACTTTACTTGACTGAAGTGGTCTGTTTAGAGTATGTTATGGAAAATGTCTGACCTGTGAACTAAACCAAGCATTCTGCAAAAATTGCGGGATCTTTATTAATGTAAATTAGCAAGCCCAAATATTTTGTTGCAGAGGGGTCAGTCGGAAATGCTGTAATCTAATTACTCTTCAGTTTCATTTATGTGCACAGACGTTTGCTCCTGTAACAGGGAAGACTGTTTCTTTTGGCAGCTGCCACAATGTGGAAGCCGACAGTATTTGCCGGCTGATAATAGGACTAATGTGCTGGCGCCCTGACAGAGGGCACAGGAGGGCATGCTATTAGATAAGTGTTTCTGCTACATTACCCAGACAGCGTTGCCCTTCACAGAATGTCCCAGCCACTGTGCGGTTTGATACCGCACAGCTATAGAATGCTAATACCAGCCTAATTATGTATTTTGGCTTCCTTTTTGGCAATGGTCGGTGCTTAAGCAAAATTTAGTGCCATCTTATATGCTCCTACAGCTGGATAATTAAAGGGCATCTCAGTTTTCAGAACGGGAAACTAATGATATGAAGATCAGTGGCTATTTAAAGAGTTACTTGGTGTGCTCAGGGAGTCCTGACAATTAGGTCTGTTTTCAGACACAAAATATATTTGGTAACAAAAGGATGGCTGTTTGCTGCAATTTAGCCAAATTTCTTCCTCCCAGGTTAACCTCCGTGTCACACAGGCTTCCTTGTGCTTTTCGTAGCAAAGAAAACTCTGTTGCTTTTACGCTGAATTTGCAGGGCGCACAGTTTGAACATGTGACAAGCAATATGTGATAGAGCGTCAAGAAGCTCAGAATCAAGACTGCATTTTCACTAAATGACACAGACCGATAGCAAAGGAACAACTAGACACTTGCTCCTGTCCCAGAGGAATACGATGTTCCTGCTGATCAATTTAAGGAAGTCTCTGTGCAGTACAGGATATCTTAAAATGAGATAAATCTGCAAAGAGGGTGAAAGTATTAACTTGATTTATGGACCAGCTTTCTACCTTGTCCTCATGGGCACCCAGCTAGAAAGTTATTTTCAGTTCTTACCTCTTAGTGAATATCAGCATAAAGATGTCCACAGGACTCAGCTGGGAGCTGCTGGTGTGTGAACACCCCCTGAACACAATGTGGGCACTAGAAGCTTGCTGACTTGGCCTTGAATGTATGAATGAAAGCCTGGATCTCAGTCTCGTGTCAAGTGTGAATGCAAGGAGCAGGACTTCACCCACCACACACTTACAGTGGGGTTAGTATTAATTTAAAAACATGACTTTAGCAGCATGCGACGCTTCTGCATTCATATTGCTATGTCAGGAAGAGGAACAGAGGGCACACTTCTTTCGAACCTCCTGTTCCCTGTGCTGCAGCAAGGGCAAGACGTGCTGGCATCACATTGCTTGTGGGCAGGTGGCACCCACTGCTGCACCCAGGGGAGCCTCTCGTGGCCTTAGAAGGTTCTCTGGCTCCCAGGGAGCTGGGTGAGCCGCGGGTGACAGCCCGTCATGCAAAGCAGCTGCTCCTCCTGCTCCCCTCACCGGCTGGCTCCCGACCCCGAATTCCAGCGGCATTCCAGCCCTGTAATGTTTACACGGAGGGAGGGCTGGCAGCGTGGGGGAGCCAGGGCTCAGTGGTGCACGCTCTGCCTCCCCGCCACCATCTGCAGGGAGACAGGCGGCTGGAGCGGGCAGAGGACAGGATGGCTTTCACCACAAAATGGTTTGCCTGATGACAGGAGTTACTATGCTCTGCTTTCCAGTGGCCCGATATCTATCTAGAATATAAATAGACTCGTATCTCCCCTTTACTTCCATATGGGATCCACAGCATGTGGCGGTTCAAGTGACAAAAAATTCCTCACAGGATGTTTTGTATGTCCTGGATCTAGGTATGTGTATTCATGGCTATAACCCATGAGGAGGCTTGGTTCCAACTGATCTTAAAGTAGCCCTTTCTCAAGCAAAACTGCTAGAATTAATGTTATAGCTGGTGACCTCAGCTGTTCAGTCCCACAAAGAAGTTTCTAAAATAATTGCTCTTCTGCCTTCTTCATTCTTATTGTTTGACTTCTGATCTATGGCTTACTGGAAATAGTAAGGAATAGCCCATCAGTGCAGCTAACCAAAATTCTTTAATTCGGATACCTATTAATGCTATGTAGCTTATTTGGCATTGATGGGCACAGTATGCAATTTATGTGGTCAGCCCTAAGAATCAACTGATAAAGTATTTTATAACTATATATTTATTGACAGGAAGTCAGGTTCACTAATTCCCTTTGAAAGGAGGAATCAGTGAGTGCTTATCCATCCTAGAATGGATAAAAATTACTAGGAAAGCATATCAAAAATAGAAACAAAGGCACCATCAGATAAGCTCTGACAAAGCACTATGTTTGAATACTGTTACATCAATTACCAGTTTGCATCATGCTTAACAGCAGTCAGCATTAAAAATGAAAATGCATTGATTATCGTACATATTCATTTACTCACCTGTGTGCCTGAGAATATTAAAAAGAGAAGGATAGATAATGAGGGACCACACTATCTCATTTTTAAAGTTTTGCCTTGTGGTTTTCAAAAGGGAAGCCAAACTCCAGTGCACCTGTGACCCGAATAGTGGAAGGGGTGTAGAGTTATGGGGGCCACTCTGATCTCCGTACAGCACTGCTCCTGCTCCCGCTGCTCCCTGCTCCTCTGTCCCTGTGAATCTGGCAGCAGCTACAACCTCTTGAGCAGATGATGGGTAGTAGATACAGAGATGGAGATTATGGCTAACAACTACAATAAAAGTGTCTGACTCAACATTCCGAGTCACATTATCAACAGCCCTAGTATTGGGCCCCTATTTCAAATGCCCGCATTTTCCAAGCGGGAACATTTTTTCCCAGCTAACCTTTTAAAGAAAGCGCAGTGTTTAGAGATACCCACATCCCTGAGAGCCAGGCTCGCTGCCGTATAAGGCTGTGTTTTGCAGCGGGAGCCAGGAGTGCTCCCTCTCTGCCCAGGCCCCTCGCAGCCGCCCCAGAGTGGGCTCCAGCCTGGCTCCAGCTGGGATCCAGCAGCTGGGTGCAGGCCCCTGCTGGGTAGCACACCTACACAGCCAGCTGGTCCCCCAAAATTCACCAGTTCAAACCCAGCACTCGCTGCCGCTTGTGCAGCAGTGTTTACTCCTGCAAAGCACAGGGAGGTTG